TTTGTGTATATATTAGTGTGTGGGTGTGGGGATGGTGTGAATGTAGGTACCTGTTTTCATGTGTGTGTGTGTCCGTGCTAAGTTTTTGGGTTTTTATATAACCTCCACAGTTGAAACAAGCATGTATTTTGAACACATGATAGAGCCATCTGTTTTTCATGTTGCTCCATTAGACATTCTTTCCATACATGTGCGTACGTTTTACGCTAATACAGCCTCCTTGCCGCGTCAATCGAACTAATTATAATTAATGTATCGTTTAACAATAATAAATGTACCGTTAATAACAACAATGTATCGTTAAAATCAATACATGTATCATTTATATCAATAAATGTATCATTTAAATCTATAAATATATCGCTATTATCAATAAGTATATCCTCAATATCAATACACATAGCCTTAATAACAACAAACGTATCGTTAACACCAACACGTCTCTGGTTAATACCATCAGAGAGAAGAAAGAGAAGCAGAAAGCGTCTTCCATGTTAGTGTGCACAGGGACAGGCAGTACAGCCTGGATGTACACCCTCAACAGACTGTGGGCAGAGGAGAGCACTTCGTTTATCTCCATGCTCAAACAGCTGCAGCCACCAAAGTATGTGGTCTGTGGGGTGGAAGGGCGCCTGTGTGTGTGTATATATTTATGCGTGTGTGTGTGTGTGTGTGTTTATATATATTTAAATATATATATAAAGATATAAAGATATAGCCATTCATTGAATACACCTGTATACTAGCCTCACTTCACTGCTGGTCGATGCTGATGTAAACTCCACAGAGAGACAGCTGAGTGGCTTAATAACGTGGACGTTGAGGCGTTGACGAGGTCGTACAATGAGAAGATCGTCTTCCCTGCAAACGACAGCCGTATACAGTACTCGGTGCGAGAGCCGGTGTGCAACGGCATCTTCTTTGCGGGAAAGTAAGCAGACGCTTGTGCATTGTGCGTGTGTTCGTGTGTGTATTTACACACACGTGTATGTGTATGTGTGTGTGTGTATGTGTGTATGTGTGTGTTAATATATACATGTGTATATGTCCTAGAAAGAAATGATCCTCTTTCCTGCGAACTACATTGACCTACAATCACAATCGCACTCGCAGTCCACTAGGTGTTTCAAAGACTATCAGGAAGAACATACAACATCTGTATGAGCATCTTCACGAACACAAAGTTTCATTCGTATGCCTTGACTTGCAATCACAGTAGACAAGGTTTATATAGGCTCTCTGTATATATGACCTGTTTAATCATCTGTATAGTCAATCTGTATCAGCATAACGATGTATACATATGCCTCCTATTTACCTACAATCACTATCGCAATCACAGTCGACAAGGTTTCTATAGGCTATCTGTATATATGACCTGTTTACTCATCTGTATAGTCAACTTGTATCAGCACAACGATGTATACATATGCCTCCTATTCACCTACAATCACCATCGCAATCGCAGTCGACTGGTTTGGCAGAGACTATTGAGAATATTTAACCTGTTTAAACATGTATACAAGTATATGTAGCATCATCTGTACAGACACACAAGATGTATCTATGCTATCGGATCATTTAACCTGCTTAAACACGTGTATAAGTATCTGTATAATCATCTGTACAGACACACAAGATGTATCCATATCCCTTGCATTGACCTACAACCACCATCGAAATCACAGTAGACAGGGTTTTGCAGAAACTATTGGGATTATTTAACCTGTTTAAACACGTGTATAAGTATCTGTAGAATCATCTGTACAGACACATAAGATGTATCTATACTAGCGGGTCATTTAATCTGTTTAAACATGTGTACAAGTATCTGTAGAACCATCTGTACAGACACACAAGATGTATCCATATTTCTTGCATTGACCTACAACCACTATCACAATCACAGTCGACAGGGTTTTGCAAAGACGATTGCGATTAAGTCGCGGTCAATTGATGCGCAGATGATCTTGGATGGCGTATACTCGTACCCGTGGTGCGATGGAGACGAAGCGTTTCTCAGCATTGACGAGGAAGACGCCCTACTTACAGTTGAACTTAAGGAAAGGCAACCCATACCAAATTAGCTCTTAATAAAATATATAGTTTGTAGGTGTAGTAGGTATCTTTTTTTGGTTTGGTGGCTTACTAGTGGACTTACAGGCAACCAATGCCGAATTAGCACTAATAAAATATGTGGTATGTAGGTGTAGTAGGTATCTTTAGTCGGTTTGGTTATTGGCTTTTGCAAATTAGCACTAATAAAATATGTAGTGGCTTATGAGATACATTTGTTGTTATGGTATATGACTTACTGATGGACTTAATGGCAACCAATTCCACATAAGCACCAATACAATATGTAGTAGGTAGATTTAATAGGTACTTTCGTTGAGTTGGCTACGGACGAACTGGTGAGCTTTCAGCAGTTTATCTAAAACCCCTAAAACCCTACTGTGTGCTATTTACAGCCGTGAACTGATCGGGCCTTCTACGACTTTTAATGTCTAAGACGTTTAAGGTGGGACTCCATAATATTATTAGACAACCGAACAGTAAAATTCTGTTTGGTTCGGTTCAGGGCAAAGTCTTTTTGAGTATATTCTGTTCAGAAAACCCCAAACCCTAAAACCCTACGCCCTAAGACAGAAAACTGTTGGTTGACCCTAAAAGCGGTATATGGGATTGGTTAAACGGGTACGCAGCTAACTACCAATGCTAGTTACACTACACATTCACAAAGAATTTAAAACCTTAGCTGTACTTAGCATCCACCATAGCCTTCTGACTGGAACAAGCCCTGAGTTGTCTTTGCATTCACAGACAATCTAAACCTCTAGTTGTTCTTAAAATTCACATACAATTTAAACCCTAGTTTGTACTTAGTATCCACCACAGTCTTCTGAATGGAACAAACCGTCTTGGCATCCACAAACAATTGATATGTCAACACAAACGAGTCTAGGGTTTTGGCCCAATATAGCAGCCCAAAATGTGAAATTCAAACACAGAGGTAACCCGCACGTGAGGAAAAGAGTTGTATTAATGCATAGTTCCCTACTTATACCTACGCTAGGACTACCCCCGTCATGACTGCCTACGTTCGGAGGCAAGCGGCGCCTGGTCGCACGGAACCGTGTGTATGGTGACACTGGATAATTAACAACAGAGTCAGTGGCGGTGAAGGAGGGGCCGATACGAAGCAAGACAGGACGTTTGTGTACGTTTAAAGTATGTGCGGTAAATCACCAAAACAATTAATGTGTGATGAAGTACCCGCACTTACCTACACAATAAAATAAAATACGACGGAACAAGAGTACTCGACTCGGGTATACGTTAACGTATAACGTAAATGAGTATAAGCCATCTCAGTATCTCAACATTATACGATCGAACGAGGATACCCAGATAAGCAAAACAATTCACAGGAGTACATACAATAGCCCTCAAAATCAAAACAACTATCTAAACATTATACGATCGAAGGAGAATTACCAGATAAGCAAAACAAATCACAGGAGTACATACGATTGCCTTCAGGCTTATAACAATACATGACAAAACCAAGTATACCTATCGCAGCTGTACGTAAATCCGTGACAGAACGAACAAGCACAGCCTCGGGGCCACACCCCACTTACGTGAAATCCTCCTCAAACGATCGGTGGGAGGTGTCTCGGTTGGCTATATCGATCTCTCGCTTGCGCAACACGAGTGTGTTGGCTTGTATGAAGAATGTGTTGAACCAGAAATGCAGCAGTTTCTCCTGTGGACACGGAACAAGCGCCAAGCCCGCATTCAGCCAGTGATACTTGCCGAAGGCAAGGGTACGGGTTGTCCCATTGTCCCCACATGTACAGGTATAAACTTGTATTGATATATGGGTGTGACTATTATATATTGGTAGGTGTGTGGGTATGCTTTATATTCCTCTGAGTTATCCTTACATGGTCTTTACATGTATTGATATATGTGTGTGAATCTTGTATATTGGTAGGTATGTGGGTGAGCTTAATATTCCTCT